TGAGCACCACTCCACAGAGTCAGACACAACTAGATTTAGTGTCAGGGGAAACTTTTACTTTTACCTTTTTGCATGGACCAATAGAAGGTAGCTTTCCATGTTCCTATTAGTCTTTAAGGTTCAGCAAGTCCCCTTGTTGCACAAAAGTTGTATATTGTTTTAGTTGTATATTTTTGCAATGCAGAGGGCTGGACTAGATAACGCTTGTGATCCCTTCCAACTCTTAAGAAGTTATGATTTTGTGCTGTGGTTTTGTCCTGTATCATTAATGACGTGCAAAGCAAGAAAGCTCACCAAGGAATTCATGTCAAATGTTTGATGAACCCCATGGGGTGGCATGTCTGTCAGAATGAAAAGTTACAGCAGATCAGAGGGAACACTTCCATACAACCCACCAGCAACTTAAGATGAAGTGCAAAGACAGTTGTATATGGTCACATGTGAGTTTTAAAATATCTGTTAGGTTTCTCTCCTGCCTTCTTGGTGTGCTGAGATCAACAGACCAAAGATGTTTTGTTTGGAGCCTGCTTTCACCTGTTTGCTATTTGACCCCCAGAAGCAATGAAAAGCAATCTGTGCCTTAGGACTGTGATACATCAGGATCATCGAGCTTATTAGGTGCCCAACTGTGACTTGTTTCCACAGAGTGCAGTTATATACAACAGTTGGGATGTCTTGCAAATGCTAGATATACCTCATGGCCCTTCTCTGGGGATGCCCGGTCCTGTGTTTGGCATTCCCTCGGCAAGGATTCTTGACAGGAGTATTACGCTCTTAATTTCTGAAAGGTGCTCAGAATGTGTTTTGCAGCCTCATGGGGATGAATAAATGGGTTTTTAATTATGTTGCAAACCAGTTTTATCATACTGCTGTATCATTTTAGTTTTAAATGGGCTTTTAATTAACGACTGAATTGTGGCAGTGTAGTACAAGCCTTGTTTTTATATGATAGTATTGTAAAGTGTCCCAAGAGCTCTTTAAAATGCTATGAGGCAAGACAAATGAGCAACTTGCTCAGCGTTATTTCTGCACACTGTGAAGTGCTTATCTGAGCTGTACCTAATGCTACCATGGCTGATCTGAAGGGTATTTCTTCCTAGTACCTCTAGGTATCAGAATTATGGATTTTAGTTACAAGCCGAGTCATTGCAGCTATCATGATTTTACAGTTAAAGTTAATGCTTAAACTATGCTGTGGAAGGTGAGCCTGTGTCTTCCAACCTTAATATATAATTTATTGCAAACTCATCTCTGTTTCGAGGAATCCCTGGTGGCACAATGGGTTAAATCCTTGTGCCAGCGGGACTGAAGACCGACAGCTCAGCGGTTCAAATCTGGGGAGAGCGGGTTGAATTCCTTCTGACAGCTCCAGCTTCTCATTCAGGGACATGAGAGAAGCCTCCCACAGGATGGTTGAACATCTGGGTGTCCTCTGAGCTACATCCTTGCAGACGGCCAATTCTCTCACCCCAGAAGTGACTTGCAGTTTCTCAAGTCACTCCTGACACGGGAAAAATAAAATCTCTGTCTCTGTATATCAGTTGAGTGACATGGGCTCCTTTGATTTGTAGAGGATGGAAAAAGTTGAAATAGTGGTGGGGAAATAATTGTGGGATGGGGACATCCATCTAATTGTGTTGTCGAAGGCTTTCATGGCTGGAATCACTGGGTTTCTGTGAGTTTTGAGTAGCTGTAATCTGGCCAGGAAAGTATCATCTGTAAATATGGGGATTTAACTGTATTCAGGATTAAGCGATTCGAATCTGGGGAGAGCAGGTTGAGCTCCTTTTGTCAGCTCTAGCTTCTCATGCAGGGACATGAGAGAAGCCCCCCACAGGATGATTGAACATCTGGGCGTCCTCCTGGGCTACATACTTGCAGATGGACAATTCTCTCACCCCAGAAGTGACTTGCAGTTTCTCAAGTCGCTCCTGACACGATAAAAATAAAATCTCTGTCTCTGTACATCAGTTGAGTGACACGAGTTCCTTTGATTTGATTGGCACTGACAAAATTACCATCTGTCAGCTGCAAAAGGCCACCCTACTGGGATCTGCACACATTACTCGCCAATACATTGCATAGTCCTACACACTTGGGAAGTGTCTGACGTGTGATTGAATACGAAAGCCAGCATAGTGATCTTGTTTGCTGTGTACTAATCTTGTTATGTATATTATTATTATTATTATTATTATTATTATTATTATTATTATTATTATTATTATTAGACTGGAAGTGGGGTAATTTATGTTGTACTAGTGGTTTCACATTAACTGTGATCTGGCCAGGAAAGTATCACCTGTAGATATCCTGTAGATATGAGGATTTCACTGTATTCACAATATTAAAACAATTTAACTCTATCTTGAAAAAGGTAAAATGCACTTAGAAAGATAAAATGCCCTTTAATAAATGCATTTAAAACAGTTCCTTTAAAAATGATAAAACAATATGATGATATTGTCATTATGCATTAAGCTAGAGAAACTGGATACTTCACTATTACTTCCAGCTCTCCATCCGTCAGAAAATGGTCATAAGAGAATAGGATTTTGAGGGAGGTGAGAGAGGCAGGCATCACAGCATAGTACTTTCCAAGTAAAGCTTTATATCCTGATGTAGAATCTCAACCACTATTTTCATTGGTACTATTCAAAGTTATGGTCCATGGCAAGTTATGGAGACAGAAATAATTGTAGCCAATGGGTATAAATATGGTGCATATCAGACAGCATGAGCATTGATTTCCTTAATCTATGTGTTACGCGATTGACCTATTCAATCCAGTTTCAACATGTTCTGGAAATAGAGGTGCTTGTCACAAGTCATTTTTTTTCTGCAGATATAAAGCTGAAAGAACCACAAAATAGGATGTCACTGCAATAGTATCTACTACTCCATGAGAACAAAAAGCAGAGAAGGTGAAATATTACTATGCTACTGACAGCACATTTATTTCCCAACTATATATTACCAGAGAGTGGGTTGGCAGTGGTTGAGCATCTCCTTGGCAATAGCTACTGTGTGTAAGGGGGCCTTGAACCTAGTGGAAATCTGGTAGCATGCCAGCACTTGGGGATTTCTTTTGTTTGCTTGACAATGTTTGTGCTTGGCTGTTGAATTAACTTCCATTACATAGCTCTGGTAGCCATAGGTAACGTGGCCAAGAAATCAGAAAAATTGTTAGAGCATTTTAAAGTTGGGGAAAGACTGACCCATCATTCAAGTCTTAATAAGCAATCAAATCCCACCTTAATAAATGCAAAAATCAAACTTTTCATGAGATTGTGGATTTTCTTTATGAATTAAGGTATATTGACCTCAACTTTTCAGTGTTTGTTTTCCATTGCTAGAAAGTAATCCTTATCAGACTTACAAATAAAGGGGGAAAGGTGGTCATTGTTTGTATCATCATCATCATCATCATCATCATGTTTATTTTTATCCAGCTTTTGCATTTCTATTACATTAACATGTACTAGAAATGAAATTCTACCTAGAACAAAATCTCTTTTCTGCCTCTCCCTTTCACTTCCTTAAAGGTAAAGGTTTCTCCTTGACATTAAGTCTAGTTGTGTCCAACTCTAAGGGTTATGCTCATCTCCATTCCTAAACTGAAGAGTTGGCGTTGTCCGTAGATGCCTCCAAGGCCATGTGGCCAGCATGTCTGCATGGAGTGCCGTTACCTTCCCGCTGGAGCCGTACTTATTGATCTACTCACATTTGCATGTTTTCGAACTGCTAGGTTGGCAGAAGCTGGGCCTAACAGCAGGAGCTCACCCTGCTCTCCAGATTCAAACCACTGAACTTTTCATCAGCAAGTTCAGCAGCTCAGTGGCTAAACCTGCTGTGCCACCGGGACACTTTAGGAGGGTATTTCCTTATCCTCCTAAAATTCAGACTGAGCAGTATTTTCAGAAAGCAAAGACATTAACTGAGATTAGGCCAAGAACTTCATCCTCTTGTTAATTACATCTGTCTTCACTCTCAGAATCCCTTCTTAAAAACAATCCACACATTATCCTACTACTTCATCACATGAGAGAATGAATCCCCTTTAAATCCGGTTTCTGCCTCCTACAGAATTCTGGGGTTTGTAGTTTAGGAAGGAGCCTTTAACAGCAACCGGATTTAAAGTGGATTCATTCTCTTGTGTGATGAGGTAACTAGAGATGGATTTTAGTTAACTTTAACTCACCTGCAAATCCAAGTTTGCAGAGACCCCTCATTGCATTGGGAAAATTTGCACATAACCTATTGGAAGATGTTTGCCTCAACCAGAAGGGCACATTTATTTATTTATTTACTGATTTTACATACTGCTTTTCTCCCAGGATGGGATTCATGTCCACATGGACACACCGGTTTTCCTATTTGAAAAGTGTACAACCAGCTGAAAGTCATCTTTATTAGGTACTAGCCATCCCCTGCCATGCCTTGCTGTGGCCCAGTCTGTGTATATATGTTTTGTGTGTGTATATATATATGTGTGTGTGTGTGTGTTAGTATATATTTGTGTATATGTGGTTTTGCTCATGCATTGTAATGTATTTTTTTATTTTTTTGGCTTTTTAAGTCAAACATAAAACACTGTTTTTCAGTGTTTTATGAGTGATGATTACTCTTTGACCTCATAAGGTGTATTGTGTCCAAATTTGGTGTCAATTCACCCAGTGGTTTTTAAGTTATGTTAATCCCACAAACGAACATTTTTATTTATATAGATAACGTGCCTTTGTGTTAGCCTGTGATTTCAGCATATTTCTATCTTAAGCCTTATAGCAAGGGCAGCCTGCAGCAGGTCAGTACAGAATAATCTGTCATGTATTTCTGCGCAATTCTTCTAGTAATCATTACTGAAGACCTGATTCTCAGCTCAGACAGGATGGCTCCAACCTTAAGATGTCCAAAGAGTCTTTTAATATTGAAATCAAAGAAGATATTGAACTAGAAGCATCAATGGCTTCTCTTTGGCTGCTACTTCAACACATACAGTGTTCAGGCTTTACTTTTTTATTTGTTGGTTTTTAGAATACAATAAATGGAACCCACCCACCCCCAAACATCCCTCAAAACAGGATTCAGTTCCCCACCTCCCCGTTTTCCAGACATTTTGAACAATGAAATAAATAACCAACTCCTCCTCCTCCTCAGCAGCAAGGGAGTAAAGATTCCTCTTTGTTCCTGGACGTCCTGTGCTGTCTCCCGTCGGACATAATAAATGCACAGGAGGGGCAGTATCATGCAAACACCCAGAGACCAGGGCACAGGCAGGGCTGGGCTGGAGCAAGGCGCTCAAGGAAAGGGGCAGATGGTAACTGTGCGCCCTAGATTTTCCCTAGGCACCCCACCCTCTTGAAGTCACAGAGGGACGTGGGAAAACTCGGGAAAGCCACTAGAGCTAGAACGACTACCACCTCACTTGGGATCTGATGGGGAGAGTAGAATATATCCCAGTCTTAAGAGACCTGCAAAATCTGAGCTGGAGAAAGAGGAGGAATGTGAACAGTCAACTCACAAATAACGCAACACAATTAAGTCAGGCTAATATGAACACACTCCCATCGCCCCCGTCCCTCCCTCCATCCCCAATTCCCCAGAAGGTATGAGTGGATGGGTGTTGGCTGAACTGTGGGTCGAAGGGAACCACAAACAGGAGCCGGGAGCTGGAACTGAGGGGAATGGGAGCAACTTCTGGGATTATACAGAAGTTCTCTCCTCCTGTTTTAGCGGCACCGAAGCCCAGCTCTCAGCCTCTGCAGGACAGGGCTCTCTCCTTCTGCCTTTTCTCTCTTCTTCTCTGCCTGTTGTTCTTGGCTCCTCTGTCACACATCTGCGGCCTCTCATAGGCCCAGTCTCGGCACCAGCCACTGCAAGTCGGAAAATGCAAAGATTTCCCTGCAAGGGCCTACTCCTCACTCTCCAACTTGAGGCTGACGCTACGCGTCTTGGCTCGGGGCTGAGTGGTGCCTCCTCCTTCGCGCTCGGCCTGGCTCTGTCCCCGAGAGCGCAAGAGCTGGCTCTGCTTGCGCAGAAAGTCCACAGGAGCAGGGCAGCCGTAACTGCCTTTTCCCAGCGTGGGCCGCGTGGTCCCCTTTGGTGAATGGGCGAGAGAAGCGGCTTCCAGCTGTGCCAAGTGTGCAACGTAGCCATCTGACAGGAACTGCAAGGAAAAAGAGATTAAAGAAGCCATTGTTTCTTTATTTTCTGACAACTCTTTGTAGGCTTCTCTGTTACATTGCTGGCTCCAAACCTGGAACCCACCCAATAACACAAAACCTCATACCTGGCACTGGCTTTGTAATTTTTTCACAGCCCTGCCCACGATGTAGATTTGAGCTGGTGGAAGCCCTAAGGAGCTATAGACCGAGATGTCCTTAGTGGATCCATAGGCAGCCACAATGGTGACCTCTGCCTGCAATAAGTCAAAGAAGACACTAGTAATTTTCCTCCCACATTTCCATCTTTTTTTCTGAGGTGCTCTTTCAAGATGCTGCCACATGAACCAGTGCTCTGCCAGAGCTACCATCCCAGACCTTTCCCCCTTATGCTTGAGTCTTTCTCAAGACAAGCTTGTCTGATGCTTCCCATACCTCCTGTTGAAGGCCCTGGAGAAAGGCAGCTTTCTGGCGGAGGGGGTCATGCGTGAGGCCATCACAGAAAGAGACAATGCCATGAGGAAAGTTGTGCTGGGTGAGCCAAGCCACCACACGGTGCTTCTGCATGTCTGGACGCCCAGTCACATAGATGATCATGAACCCAGAGTCTTGCCAATGCCTAAAGAGGTAAGGGAAAGATTATCTGCAGGCCCTAGATGGCTTATTTATTCAGCAATCCTATTAGGACAGAGGTGGAAGATGCACAGCATTGCAAGACTTTGCTGGACTGCAACATCCAACAGTCCTAAATGCTGGCTATCTGACTATTGTTGATGAAGCTGCAATTGCATAACATCTGGAACACCAACATTGCCCTTCCTGGGTTTAGATTGCAAAAGACTGAGGGCTGCAGGTAGATGGCAAGTGTATCTAGTCACCTAGTCCTCCAGGTGTTTGGGACTTTAACTCCCAGAAGCCTCAGCTGCTTTGGCCAATGATCAGGGATTCTGGAAGTTCAATGCCAAAACATCTGAAAGACCAGAGTTTGGGAAAGTCTGGTTAAGGACACTGTTTGTGATATTTTAAAATCACTTCTCTTTATAGTTCAAAGAACTTCTCTTCTAGTCAACAGAAGGATTCCTTTATCAGTGACCACAGTTTTGAAAACAGTTTTAAAAACCTATAGGTTTAAAAAGCCTATTTAAATAAGTTTTGAAACAGTCTCACTCACAAATACTATTTAAAGTATATTCATAAACTTTTAGGAAACAGAACATGAAGGTCTAGATCAGTGGATCTCAACCGGTGGGTCCCCAGATGTTTGGCCTTCAACTCCCAGAAATCCTAACAGCTGGTAAATTGACTAGGATTTCTGGGAGTTGTAGGCCAAAACACCTGGGGACCCCCAGGTTGAGAACCACTGGTCTAGGTCTTCTGAAGCACCCTTCTTAGTAGCACATTGCCTCGGAACACAGGAAATCTACTGTATTTTGTTATTGTAGTAAAAAGCTATTTGTCAGGCCCATTTCTCCACAAAATTGCATCATCTTTTTAAAAAGCAAAGTTAGTGGGCAGCATGACATGTAATTTATTCATTCATTCATTTAGTATATTTATATACCACCTTTCTCATCCCTGGGGGGACTCAAGGTGGTTTACAATATATTGATGGCAAGAATTCAATGCCAACATACATATAATAAAATAAAATCACAATAACCAAACATTGACATATAACTATAAATTAAAATCATTAAAACCATTAAACATAGGCATATACAACCTGTAAACACTAAGAAAAGCATTAAAAACATCTTAATATAAATATTAAAATCACATGATCCAAAAATCATCCATTGTGGCCATAGCACGTATTTCCTGATTATTCTTTGCATTGCATTACTGGCCAAAAGCTTGGCCCTACAACCACATCTTTTTTTCTTTTTGAAGTCCAGGAGGGAGGGCGTTGATTTAATTTTACTGGGGAGAAAGTTCCAGAGTTGAGGAGCCACCACTGAGAAGGCCCTGTCTCTTGTCCCCACCAATTGCACTTGCGACATAGGTGGGACCGAGAACAGGGTCTTCCCAGAAGATCTTAACCTCCAAGATGGTCCATAGAGGGAGATACATTTAGACAGGTAAGCTGGGCCAGAACCGTTTAGGGCAGTGGTTCTCCACCTGGGGTCCCCAGGTGTTTTGACCTACAACTCCCAGAAATCCCAGCCAACTTACCATCTGTTAGGATTTCTGGGAGTTGAAGGCCAAAACATCTGAAGACCCAGAGGTTTAGAACCATTGGTTTAGGGCTTTATAGGCTAAAGCCAGCACTTTGAATTGTAGCAAACTGGCAGCCAGTAGAGCTGACATAACAAGGACGTTGTGTACTCCCTGTACACTGCCCCAGTTAGCAATCTGGCTGCCACTTGTTGGGCCACTGGAAGCTTCCAAACAGTCTTCAAAGGCAACCCCATGTAGAGCGCATTGCAGTAATCTATCCTCGATGTAACAAGAGTGTGGACCACCATAATGGCATTGAAATTTGTAAGGTAGGTGGATGTGGACTGAAGAAGTATCTATTTTTATACTGAATAATGGTGGGAAAAAGAGCAGAATGAAACTGCATTCTATGATAAATATATATTTGTTGAAATGTCTCATTTTGATCCACAGTAGTCTCCTATGAGATGCAATGTTCAGATGTCTAGATTTTAGTCAATGCCCAGAGCACAACTTAGAAACTTGCTTTCTTTTTAAACTACAGTATGGCCAATGCTAGCTGGGGATTCTGGGCACTGCAGTCCAAAAAAACCTAACTGATCTCAGTTCTTGCCTAGAAAAAGAGACAGAGGCTTTATTTTCCTATTTTACATGATAAGGAAAAGCAGGGTTTCTAGGACTAGCTTAATCAAATGGGAGTTTCAGAAGATAATCCGATTGATTAAACAAAGGCATCTTTCAGTGAATCCATCTTGACAGCATTTTGGCACTGAGAGACTTGGAAATTGGCAACTAACTCTACTACAGGCTTATATAAATGTGGGGGATCAGTAGAGCTGTTTCTGCAGCTGGTGTTTTAATTTGTCATTCTGTTGTTGTCTTGAAGAGTATAAGGGTTTGAAAACAATGATTAGGTACATCAGAGTAGCATAGTTGATTTCAAACCAAGCTTGGCTTTCAGATACAGACATAGTGGTGGTGGGTGGTCTGCAGGAATGAGAAATCTATCAGGAACATTGCTGCAAGATTATTGCAACTGCCCCCCATGTTCCCTGCAGAGTCCCCGAGCGCTGCTGTCACTTACCTTACTACATCAACAGCACCAGCACGTACTTTGGGATCGCTGCCCATAATGGAGACACTGGCTGTGAAGGAACCATCAATACTGAAGACGACGCATGGTGTGGCCTTAGCTACTACGGTCAGAAAGCACTCAGCATAAGTGTGATCACCCCTGTAGAGGGAAGTGAAAGAGAATCCATCTTTTTCCAGGTATTGAAAACGCCATCACACACAACATTATCAGAATTAGAAAATGCAAGGACCTCCCCTTCAAAAAGTTCGGGAAAGTGACACAGCCTATTTACCCCTACATCTTTAGAAAACAGAGGAAGAAATAATAATAATAATAATAATAATAATAATAATAATAATAATAATAAATTAATAAATACTTTATTCATAGACCGCATTATCTCCCCAAGGGGACTCAGAGCGGTTATATCAAGGTTACATCAAGCAGTGTAATTTTGGCAGATTGGTAGGACACATGCCATCTGTCAAGGACAAAAATCTCAGTGGATTTGGAGAGGGGAGAGGTGCATTCTATAGGATGAGTGGCCCACAGTCTCTTTCCAGATATGTTTTTTAGCCAACCCCATCCCAGACAGTATAAATAATGGTAAATGTTCATGGGAACTTCTCAGGTTCTTCATGTCATCAAGTAAATATAAAATTATAACATGCATTATTATTTATTTTATTTAGTTCATTTATGTCCTGCCTTTCTCACCTCACAAAGGACTTAAGGCAGCTTACAAAATCCAGCAAGAATTCAATGCCGTAACATACACATTACAATAAAACCAATATAACAATGAAACGTACCCCATAAACTATTTTTGTGGGTCAACAATTAAAACATATAAGCACATTAAAAACACATAAGACAATGGTAACAGGTTAAAAACTTATAACATATTAAAAACATAACGTGCTGACTCTTGATTTTATACTTAGTAATTAGTCCATAGTCATTATCCAAACTGTTGAAGTCAAATTCCATATTGGTCTATTCTCCAAATGCCTGCATACAAAATCAGGTCTTAAGTTTTTTTCTGAAGACCAGGAGGGATGGGGCCTGCCTGATGTCACTAGGGAGGGAGTTCCACAACTGAGAGGCCACCACTAAGAAGGCCCTGTCTCTCGTCCTCACCAATCGCATTTGCGAAGGGGATGAGAGCAAAAGCAGTACCTCCCCAGCAGATCTTAAGGGGAGACACATTTGAACAGGTAAGTTGGACCAGAACTGTTTAGGGTTTTATAGGCGAAAGCCAGCACTTTGAATCGAGCCTGGTAGCAGACTGGCATCCAGTGGAGCTGACGTAACAGAGGGATTGTATGCTCCCTGTACGTCACTCCAGTGAGGAATCTAGATGCCACCCGTTGAACTATTTGAAGCTTCCAGGCAGTCTTCAAAGGCAGCCCCACACACAGCATGTTGCAGTAATCTATCCGAGATGTAACAAGAGCATGGACCACCGTGGCCAAGTCTGACTTAGTATAATATAAAAATATAAAATATTTTATATTTTTAGAATAAAGATAGAATTTTAGAATTTTATATTTATAATAAAGAGGAGACCATCAGCATTAGTACAACAGAGAAAAAGAATTTATGTCTCTAGATTTCTATACCAGAAGGAGGAGGAGGAGGAGAAAGTGGAGGTGGTGTGTGTGTGTGTGTGTGTGGTGGTGGGGGGGGGGGGGGGGGGGGGGGGGAGAGACCATGAATTGCAATGATCAGTTATTGCATACTGTCATATATATAAGTCATCTTTTTATATAGTTTTAGGGGTGATTTTGTGGGGGAAAATATAATTAATACATCCCCCCGCCCCCATTTTTCTAAGCAAAAAAGCTTTGTAAGACAACAGGCTTCTCCTGTAACACAATTTATTTTTTCACCAGGCCTTCACACATCAAATAATGTAAATTGGACCAAGAATAAAATGTCCAACTTTAAGAAGTCTGCTGCGCACTCACCTCACCACCATGCGGACAGGGTACATGCCAATGCCCAGCATCTTCTCCTCAAGGAGAGTGTAGGAGAGCCTTCCACTGCCACTGGTCACCTCTGTGCCATAGTGGACCCACTTCCCTGACAGTGGCTGTGCCATGACATAGATGTCAACCTGGGAGAAGGGATCAGAGGACACCAGCATCATTAATTCCTTGGTATCATCCTTCGCAAGCACTGTTCCCCCTCTGCAGCAATTGCCCTCTTCGGTGTTTGCTAATTTTGGAACCTTGCTTAGGTCTGGAGGGGGAGGCATGATTACCCCCTTCATTTTCCACATCATCTGCTTGCATCCGGCTTTCCTCCTGGGCATTCTCTACTTTATTTTGCTTATACAGTAGGCCAGTTATTTTCCAAAAAAGTAAGAAAGAGCAAGAGTAAGAAGAACTCATGCAAGAACAACAGCATTCATAGCCTTAGGTGACTGCCTCACTGGAACCAGCCCTGGTATCAAGGAAGACAGCATGCTTGAGGAGGAGACACAGGACACCACACCAAGTTCAGCTCCTTTTCATTTTCTGAGGGAATCTGCAAATAGTACTTAGGAATCTACACAGAAACAAGGGTACGCATGACAAATAATGCTCACTGCTCAGATTCCCCTGGTTGCAACTTCTCTCTGTTCACTTATTCTTGTTGGACACAAATGAACATCACAACATAGAGAAGACTATTGTTACCTTCTCTCCAGTCAGAGTCACCACATCCAACGGTCCATACATGAAACGCCCGTTGAGAACCTGGGGCCGCCCTTCACACACAATGACATCGCTGGCACGGTGGTTGGCTGTGACATTCTGGAGGACAAAGCACCAGCAGCTTCTTAGCAAATTTATTTTTCCAAGGAGATAGATAAAACATCAAAACTGAACTGTTCATAGAACGATTACCGAGGTGGAAGAGGATGGTGACAACAACAACTGCTGTTGTTGTGGTGGTTGTTACAGCTTCCTTGCAAGCAGGTAAACTCACAGAGTGTTTACAAAGTATTTTTTATGAAAGGGAATGGATCTACCCTTCAGATTTGGAATGCAACTCTTACTTGTGACATCTTGCCTACTCAAGAGCCCCCGGTTTCACTATGGGTCAAACCCTTGTGCTGGCAGGACTGCTGACTGAATCTGGAGAGAGTGGGTTGAGCTCCCTCTGTCAGATCCAGCTCCCCATGCAGGGACATGAGACTAGCCTCCCTAAAGGATGGTAAAATATCAACAACTACAAAAAAAAATCATCCGGGCATCCCCTGGGTAACATCCTTGCAGACAGCCAATTCTCTGACACCAGAAGCAACTTGTCATTTCTCAAGGCACTCCTGACACACACACAAATCTTACCAATTTGCTGCTTTGTTTTTAATTTCAGTTGTGATTGCAATCCTAAATAGAGTCCCATGGTCTATAGCGGTTAGATGAGCCAGAAACTATCTAGACAGCCACAGTTTGCCACCTCTCCATTGTTGTGTATGTGCCGTACTTGTATATTTATTGTTGGTTTTGAATAATTTCATACTGTTTGAAAGAAGGTGTATTTAATATAATGGTTTATTTAGTTTTTAACCCTCTCCACCCCCACCCCCAATCTTCAGGTTTTTAGATGTAGAAACTTAGAATCATAAAACTGGCAGAGACCCCAAAGGCCATCCAGTCCAACATCACTCTGCCAAACAGGAATCCACAGTCAAAGCACTTCTGACAGATAGCCATCTAACCTGTTCAAAAACCTCCAAAAAGGAGACTTCATCACTTTCTGAGGTAGTGTGTTTGAACAGTTTTTACCATCAAGAAATTTTCCCTGTACCTTGTTTTAATTTATGTTGTGAACTCCTTTGTGTCCCATGTCCAGAGAAAGGAGGGACATGAATTGATTGATTGACTGACTTATAGTAATTATTACTTTTTGCTTGATTGTTTTATCCTCTTGCAACACAGAAGTGCACTTCATTTAACTGATGCCTATGTCATCTAAATTATGCAGCAAACCCTGCCCACAGACCTTTTAGTTTTTTACACAAATTGCGTAATTGCATTTCGCATACATGGCAATGTTTATTTAAAGCCTTTCCTCAGATTATGGAAAAAGGATTAAATACTAATTGTTATTATAAAGACTGCGTAAATAATCTCCAAACTGCTAACAGCAAAGTAAATGGAAAAATATTTTAAAGGCATTACCTTCTGTCACTAATCAGAAGCAAAAGTTTTATTTTTAAAAAACTAGAAAATTGGTTATTGTTTTTTGGTTTTGCTTTCCTTTCTGTCTTGTCTTTTTTTTTTTGGGGGGGGGGCATTAAAAAAGAGTTTCCTTAGACCTTTTATACAAGGCTTATAGAACCAAGAGCTGCTAGGATTCCCTTTCTGGAAACAAGTCCAGGCTTGAGTTCAAGTGCCTCAGGCAGGAAGCAGCTGTTGCAACTTCCTTCCAAAGATCTGCAATGAACCTCTTCAAATTGCGATAGAAGGTTTCTCAACAGGGCAAGCCTGTAAGTGCTTGTCAAAACACAAACAGATGAAGTAGCTTCTCTATTCCAAAGTTTGAAAGCGAAAATCCAGACCTTTGGCTTCAAACATGTTCTGCAAACACAGTTGGGAAATACTGCTTTTCATCAACTAGGATTTGCAGGATCTGGCTAAGGGATTCTGGGACTTGTAGTCACAAACACAACAACCCAGAACCAGGTAAATATAGAATTGTCTACATTACTGCTATTCAAGGTGCTGGTCCATGGGCCAATGCTATTTCCTGAGTTATTAGATGTTTGTCCCTGGGAAGTTTCCAGGGGAAATAATGGTCATGTTCCCTGGCACCCTGGTCTACCACATCAACTTCCCTGGGAGACACACTGATCTATTTATTTATTTACAACATTTCTATGCCGCCCTTCTCACCTCAAAAGGGACTCATGAGTGGCTTACAAGTTATTTGTACATATATTATATTATTAGCATAGCACAGTATTAGTATTGTATGTTACTATATTGTACTATACCACTATACCAGTGGTTCTCAACCTGTGGGTCCCCAGATGTTTTGGCCTTCAACTCCCAGAAATCCTAAAACTGGTAAACTGGCTGGGATTTCTGTGAGGCTGGGGTTTCTGTTGTAAGTCAAAACACCTGGGGACCCACAGGTTGAGAACCACTGCACTATACTGTAATATTATTAGTAATATTACATGTAATATAAATGTATAATTATTATATTGTATTATTATTATTATATTGTATTACATTATAATATTATCAATATTATATGTGTACATGATATATTATATTATTAGCACAGCACAATACTCGTATTATGTATTACTATATTGATGCTGGAGGGAGCGGCTCCCAACTGATGACTCAGGAGACATACATACAATAGTTTGATTTTGTTTGTGACCTGAAATGACAATACTGATTTTGTAATATATATACATGGTGGTGTGGCGGGTTAAACCACTGACCTGCTGAACTTGCTGACCAAAATCAGCAGTTTGAATCCAGGGAGCAAGGTGAGCTCCCACTGTTAGCCCCAGCTTCTACCAACCTAGCAGTTCAAAAACATGCAAGTGTGAGGAGACCAATAGGTACCACTTCTGCAGGAAGGTAACGCTGCCCCATGCTGTCATGCCTGCCATATGATCTTGGAGGCGTCTGCGGACAATGTTGGCTTTTTGGCTTAGAAATGGAGATGAGCACCACCCCCATGAGTCAGACATGACTAGTCTGAATGTCAAGGGGAAACCTTTCCCTTTACTTATAGGTAAAATATATGGAATTGTTTTGGCAGGCATGGAGAGAAAAGATGAAAAGCAGCTAACAGGCACCTGCAAAGCTGCCTTTAAGAAAATTAGTAATGAAAGGGATTGGATCAGCCCCAAATCTTTTCCTGGAAGACAAGTTCTCTTGTCTTGGCCCACACTGCATTTCAGTTTCCGATGGATGCCTGCAGCACAGAATGGGGGCAGGACCACATACCCGGATCTTCACTTGTGTGCGCTTGCGTTGCCACTTCTCACGGGGAAAAGCCGGGCTGTAGATGGAACTCTCCTCATTTTCCGTCACTTGGTGCTGCTCTGTCTCAATCACCTGCAATCACAGAACATCAGCCCATGACCCCTACAGCTCCCAGGCCCCAAAGCCACTCAACTGCATTAAGTAATCATCCCTGCAAGGTACAAAAAGACCTTGGGACAAAAAAAGCCTACCTTTTGGCCTACAACTCCCCAAATCCTTCAGACAGAGGTTTCAGAACTATATTCCAAAAAATAAAATCCTCCGACTTTCTCTTTGCTAACATTCAGGGAAACTGGGGGCACTGCTTAATAGCAAGAGAAAGCAAAATGCTGCCTCTCCTCATGAGGATCAAGCAGTTTAGTTATTCTTATCATTTGATCCTTTTTAACCAGGGCTAACAAGAAATGAATCAAGGCCTTCCATATAACTGTTGTGCATTTTGTCAGTGACATCCAGCTTCTTCTTGTTTGTTTATTCAGTGGCTGTTCCTTACAAACCAATGATCTCCTTTGCTTTCTATCTTAAAATGACCCTTCTGTCCAGCACTATCAGGGTCTTCTCAGATCACTAGTCCAGCCTACTGTTTACTCCAATATTCATTTTCTGAGTACTGGGAGAAGATAATCCTTTTCAAAATTCAGGTTCCTACCAAATTTTTCACTTCCCCATACAATTCTGGATCTGCCTATCTCCAAAATTGGGAAAGCAAAGCTCATCCATTAGGACCGGGGTCTGCTCCATAAGTGCCCACTCTATTTGCTTTTGAGTGGCTTTCCTATCTGGCTCTGTTTTTCAATAAGATATTTGCTGCTGCCTTGGTGGAATTACCAGCATGATATATTAGGATCAGCAGCTGAGGGACTGGCGTTATATCACCTTCAATTGTTCCCCAAACTTCCCAGCCCTATATTAAATTAACTTCTCCACCCCTACATCCCCTTCTTGAAAAGGTTGCCTATGAAGTTTTCTATCAGACACCCTTTCCCCAAAAAAGTTTTCATCTTGCAACTTCCCATACAAATACCAATGACAGCCACTCCTTTGAATCACAGTGGCATGTTCTCTAACACCTTCATCTGCTATGGGCATTTTACCTGTCGGAGAATGAAAGCGGCCACATCAGCACTTTCCCAATAGCTGGCATGGAAAAGGTGAGGCAGGGTGATCGTAGGAAATGCCGTCAGTGCCTCTGGGCAGTAGAGGGAGTAGTCAATGCGTTTAGTTCCCCACCAGCGATCCAGAACTAGACATTGAAAGGAAGAGAAATTGCATTAAGCTCCCCCACTGCACACTCCTGCCTTATTCCTTTCTCCCAGCGCAGCTGGGGAGTACTCCAAAGCACGAATGGCTGCTTTTGTTATGCACACCCTTCTTGCGTTCTCTTTATCTTATCAAATACACAACTCATGGTTACCTATATTTTCTAGAGATATGAACATTTGATTTCTGTCCCCCTGCTCTCTCCCCCCACCCCCAAAATAGGCCTTCACAACTCTAGTCTATTGAAGGTCAATACAAAAATATTACGTGCATTAGCAGGGATGCAGCAACATCTGTCACAACAACCAATCCTTTACAGATACGAACTAAATGCATAACCTCTTCATTAGGAAGCATTCAGCTTCATTAACTAAATGACTTCTGAACCATAAGCCTCCACTTTACTTTCGAGACGTAGGGAAAACAGAGATGAGCAGGAGATGGAATATGAAGGAACTATATTTCTGTTCTCACAAAAGACATGGACCAAAAATAATATTATGGATTAGATCAGTGGTTCTCACTCTGTGAGTCCCCAGGAGTTTTGGCCTATAACTCCCAGAAATCCCAGCCAGTTTAACAGCTGTTAGGATTTCTGAGAGTTGAAGGCCAAATCATCTGGGGACCCACAGATTGAGAACCACTGACTTAGACTATTAGCCCTAGAGCAGGAGGCGGGAAGCTTATATAACATATACCATCCCCAGACTTTCACTTTTATGGTCCCCAAGTTCCCTTGGCATACCCTGCAAAACCCCTCAAAAATTATGTTTTACTGAGCTATTTTCAGGTGATTTTTTTTTTTGCCTGAGACTTGCTCCACATCCATGAAAACCACTTGTTCTTTCCTACACCTCCAGAACTTGCCTTTAGCGCTTTCAGTTGAAAATAAGGCAAAATAGTGATGGGAGGTGATGTGAGATGCACAAAAGTACATTGCAGTGTAGCCCACTGCTGTGTTAGGAGGTGGGTGGGAAGGCAGTGAGACAAAAGGATTATGGCACCCCTGAAAACAGTGTGCTGTGTATGAGGATGTTTCTTTGTCCAGAAATAGCTCCTTCAGGCACAAGACCAATAACAGGGCCATCATACTGATACACCTTGCGGTGTAGTAATGATGGAGATGGGTGGAATGAGGGCATTGTTGTTCTCAAATAAAAAATGTTTCCTAATGAAATTTCCATTCAGTTGCCAAATTGCTAGTTTTGCAGCTCAGCAATAAGAAAATACAGCCCTGGCATTTTTTTAAGGGGCTGTGTAGGGTCCTGCAAAATCTCAGCAGCAATCTTTCATGAATTCATTAAAACACTATGGAAGCTTTTCCACACATGCACAAGTTATAGGCTGCAAGGCCTGTGTGTTGTGCATCTACAGCTATGTAAGAAAATTCACTCCCGACTTTGACAGATGTGCCGACACCATATTGGCACTGAATGGTTCATCAGAAAAATAAAAACAGCAATTTTGGATTTAAAAGAATTTCAGGAGGATAGTTATCTCTTTTGGAAAATGGAAATTTCCAGAACCTTCTGGAGATTTTATGATCTTTGGAAATTGTGGAGATTTTATGATCTTTGACCTTGTTAGAAGTCACAACATTTTGAAAATGATGCCATAACCTCTTGGTAAAAGCATGACCTGTTAAGAGTTATAACCTTTTTGGGGAAATGGCATTCACCAGCATTCATGCAAGGCAACTAGGATTGTCAGCTGTTAAACTGATGTACCTAGGTATGTCTTTGAACGGTTAGGGACAAAGAAATACCAATGCACAAAATTGACCCATATATATCCAGCAGAGTTCCAGAAGTGTTCCTTTTAGTTGCCCCAAAACATCTACTCTCCCTTGAAATATATTTGCCTTTAAATCATGCTCTCAAGAGACAAAAAAAAGTAGACTTCTTTAAAAGTAACATAGTTTGTTTACACACAAACTTCATGTCCTCAGTATACAGGTACTTTGTATATGAATCCAGTTACAACAGGATTTTAAGTAGTTTCTCTGTGTAGGTAACAAAGGGCATCTTTCTTAGAATCAATAGTCCATAAACTAAAGCATCTCTCTGTTCTGAGAGTCTAAAAGAGTCTTTGTCTAGTCTTAAAGTTCAATGGAGTCTAATGGCTTCTGTACAGCATACTGTTCCTATTGAAATCTCCACACTGAAAATCTCATGGCTTCTGTACAGAAGTCTAATGGCTTCTGCCTTTCTAAAATAGAGTCAGACCCTGAACAAGCCCAGACCTGACAACATGGTCTGAAGTCCCTCTCACATCCAAGAGTTAAGGTAAAATTGCAAACCAATACACACATATACAATACAGTAAGCAATTATTTACATAACAAACAACTAGTGGAAGCTAGAGAAGGTTGCTATTTTCAACAATTTCCAGGTCTGCAAAGAAATCACAATATGCTAGACTTTACTTATTTATTTATTTGCCATATTTATATCCCACCCTTTTCAACCCCAAAGGGGACTCAGAGAGGTGCACAAAGGCACAATTCGATGCCACACATGACATACAATATATATTCAGCAAATATTAAAACACCCGCTAAAATCATTTTGACATTAAAATTATTAAAATCACATACTGTATATACTCGAGTATAAGCCTAGTTTTTCAGCCCTTTTTTTAGGCTGAAAAAGTCCCATTCGGCTTATACTCGAGTCAAGATTATTTATTATTTAATTCCATTATTATTATTATTATTATTATTATTATTATTATTATTATTATTTTACTCTATTATCATTACATTTATTATTTTACTTTATTATTGTTATTATTACATTTATTATTTTACTCTATTATTACTGTTATTATTACATTTCTATTACTTTATTATTATTACATTTATTATTTTACTCTTTTATTACTGAAAGGATGTGCAAACATATTTACACTGAAAAAGGTTGGTATCATGGTTTAATCAGAGTTGGACAGTCTTATCTTAAATTACAGTTTTATGTAAATATTCAAAAACATTTAACCTACTGATGCCTCAATTAATGTCATAGTATTGGAATCTATTTTTCTTTTGGAATTTACCAGTAGCTGCTGCATTTCTCACCTTCGGCTTATACTCAAGTCAACATGTTTTCCCAGTTTCTTGTGGTAAAATTAGGTGCCTCCGCTTATATTCGGGTCGGCTTATACTTGAGTATATAGGGTAATCCAATATTGTAGTCCAGGCCATTCCTGTTATCACTGCACCTTTCCATGTTCACATATTGCACTTCATTCAAACGCTTGGTCCTACATCCAAGTTTTCCATTTTTTCCTAAAGGTCAGGAGGGAGGGGGCAAATCTGATGCCAATAGGGAGGGAGTTCCACAGTCGAGGCACCACCACTGAGAAGGCCCTGTCTCTTGTCCCCACCAACGGCACCTGCGAAGGAGGTGGGACTAAAACCAGGGCCTCCACAGAATATCTTAATCTCCGAGATGGTTCATAGAGGGGGATGCATTTGGATAGGTTCAGACTATTCAATAGGGCTTGAACAATATGCATTCACTACTCAGTCACAGGTTTTCATTTTACATATCTTTTTTACATGTGGATATACTTATTTTAAAATAACTTGGGGTTTTGTTTTGTTTTTGGAAGTTTCAATAAGGTGTGGAGGAGGAATTTAACCCTTCTCCCTCCATTCAGGTCCTTGCATTTAATACAATATTTGGTTTTGGTGATGATGTGGATCCCATTAATTATAAGCCCACACACCTAGCTAATGTTATCTGTGAGTTTTAAAACATTAAATACAATTAAACATTGAACATCAAATGTAATTGGGATTTGGCCTAGCCACCTAATCTTTGGCTACAGTCCCCACATCAGCATTTATTTAAAAGGCTTCCTTAAATCTGATTGTAAGGGGTTGAAAACCCACTCAGTTATGCAAGCCCATTTGGGGCCCTTCCCCACAGCCCCTTTATCCCAGGATCTGATCCCAGATTATCTGGTAGTGGGGACGCATATATTCCAGTTTATAGCAGATAATCTGGGATGAGATCCTGGGATAAAGGGCAGTGTGGAAGGGTCCTGGGTGACCTTGTGGAAGTCACACACTCTCAGCCCCAGAGGAAAGCAAAAATACATCACCTCTGAACACAATAATAATAATAATTTTATTTTTATACCCTGCCTCCATCTTCCCGAAGGGACTCGGGGCAGCTCACAAAAGGGATATGCCCAACAAGTACAGGTTAAAACAAACATAAAAATACAATCAACAACAAAAAATCAATAAAACATCATAAAACAACATCATGGCTGAACAACAAATGATGGGTTCATGCTCATGATTCCTAAGTGCAATGATTCCCACATAGAGCCGAGGGAAAGTGCGACAAGAATTTCCCTTAAAGATGCCATAAATCAGAAATGACTTGAAAGTCCACAAAAATAACAAAGTGTCTTGGCTGTGCACAGGACTGCATCCCTTCACTCTTTAATCCAATATAGTATAGTACTTGAATTCATTAGTGTCAAACCCAGAAGATCAATGGCTTGGCAGAGACAGAAGACTGTGAAAGCTCTTCGGTCTGGAACATAGGGTGCAAGTGGCACAATATGGCCACGCTACGGAACCGGTGAGGAATTCGGTCAAAGAACAAGCCTTTTTCTTGGCAGCACAGCAACTATTCAGTGCCTGCAAAATGAACTCATTTGACTTGTGGACACAAGGATCATTGTTTAGGTTTCTTTCTGAATCGGCAGTTAGTATATTCAGGAGGGACTGGCCGATACTTCCTGAACCGCAACCATACAAGAATCAGATTATGTGTACTTCAAGCACCATGAATCTATAAAACACTTGGTTATACGGGTTGAATCTTCTTTTTTCCAGAAATCTGAAGGACTTTTTGCCACTCCTCCTCACTTCCACCTTTGAGGGGAAAGGCTTGAGTTTTTCTCAAGGAGCTGTATGAAATTTGATGGGAGAAAGGAAGGCTGGAAGGATTGTGAATTATGGTGTTGGGGTTACACAAATCTCCTGTAAAAAGCAGGCATTGGGGAGTGAAAAGGCCAAATGCATCTAAGCTGCCACAGACACAGGGAATGATGTAAAGTTCCACCTGCCTAGACAGTCCATGTTGAGTTTTCCTTTTGCCTGGTCAATGGCAGAGTGGAGAAAGTGCCTTGGAAAACGGATGTGAGAGTGGTGTAGGTAGACAGGGCAGCCATAGTTTTAGGATGGCACAGGATTGCAGAGTCAGAACTTTAGGTTCAAAAATATTTATTGAAGTAAAAGAAATACATTCTTAATAGAAAAGGTCTTGGAGCTAAGTACCTTAGAAAGTCTTATCTTGTAAAGGAGGTAAAAGGTAAAAAGATCCACACAGCTATATTTTGCCTAGAGAGAGGCAAAATGCATCCTTACTGGAAGAAAGAAAAGGCAGAAGAGACTGGAAAATGGTGAAGAACCGCATGGTCAATCCAGGGCAATAAAACTTAAAGAGGAAGTTCCCTCATGGAATTCCATTACTACGTCATTAAAGGGGAGGAGACAGTGGCTGGCAATGAAGAGAAAGACAAAGCCCTTTAGGAAAACATGCATCGGTATGTGGGGGGAGGAATCCTTTAGCCTACTCCTATCTCTAGCCTAGCTACTCATTGAGGTATTGAAACGTGATGGCACAAGAAACTTATACAGTCTATAGATTAAACCCAACAAAAAAAGAATGATTTTAAAATGTGTGAGAGAAAAATCCTGATCTTCAAATGATTTCATATTACACAACTACCACCAACACACTGTGGGTTAAGAGTAGGGGAAGATGGAGCTCATGTGTATATGAAACGTCAAACTTCCTGTGGACCTACAAAAGCAACATGGATTTTATAGAGTTTTCATAGGAAAGGAATATTCAGAGGTGGTTTGGCCAGTTCCTTCATGTGAAATAGAGCTTATAGCCACTGATATACATTGGCAGTCTCTCATTTAAAGACTAACCAGGGCTCAGCCTGCTTACTGTCCAAGATCAGATGGAATCAGATGGCCTTTAGGTCTCCAGATATGGATCACATGCCGAATGTGGCCTTCTTGTCTTTTCTGTAACACTGACAGTGGCTGCGTTCAAAATTATGATGTTGAGGGAGAATACTGTGGAGGTCATGGTCTAACAAAAAGGCAAATAAATGGGTTCTAGGACACATCAAGAATAAACTCTCCCAGGAATCTAGAATGCCTAAATTGAAGCTATCATATTTTAGGCATAATATGAGAAAAAATGACCCAAAGTTAATTATGTTGGGGAAATAGGCAGAAAGTAGGAAAAGAAGAAGTTCATATTGCATATGGATTGACACCGTTAAAGAATCTTGAGGCCTCTTCTACACTGCCATATAATCCAGATTATCCAGGAACATAATCCACATAATCTGCTTTTAAATGAATTATATGAGTCTACACTGCCATATAATCCAATTCAAAACAGATAATCTGGATTTTATATGGCAGTGTAGAAAGGGTGAGCTTGCAAGAACTGAAACAGGCCATTTGTACCAGGATCTCTTGGAGGTCTCCTATTCACATGGTCATCGTAAATTGAAGCTGACTTGATGGCACATAACAACAAACAACAGAGTCCAATGCCTTCCACTATCAAACTTACTGCCCCAATGACAAAAAAGGATGTGCTTCCTTTCCTTTAAATGAGTTGCTGCACCTCCACAAATCACAATGAAGCTTCAAAAGAATGGTCAGCAAAGGATCTCTATTCCCTTCACCTGAAGAAGTTGTCCATCCGGCTTGTAGATGGACTCAGGTGAACCAAAAGTGAACTGAAATGGAGGGATGGAAAGAAAAAGGACACTCACTCTTGACCACTTCGTTGGTGCTGGTTACAGTGCTCTCGCCTGTGGTTCCTTCGTTCCCTTTCCAGAAGCCCCCAAATGCACCCGTCGGTGTGGGTGGTGTGACAAGGTCCAACTCATCCATGAAGAGGGAAGAGTGACTCTGCAAGGCCTCCGCTAGGTCAAGGAGAAAGGGAAACAGGGATGAACACAAAGATAGCTTTACATCCTAGACTGCCAGGAGATCCCAAAGCACCGTTCTTTAGGCACAGTTATAACAGAAGTGCCTTGCACATCCACCGGTTTCACATGCAAGTCTACATAAGAACATAGATGCTACCACAGTGTGAGCCTGAGAGAGAGCCTGAGTGAAGGAGAATATGACTTTAAAGGTCAACTCCAAGAGACTGTTCCATAAAATCATTTCCTTTGGTGTCAATTTCTTGAGAAAAGCAGAATCAGCTTAGCTCCAGTGGTCATGATGTGGAATCAATCACACCACAGAAAAGCAGGTCCCATGATGGGCGGAGGTACAAAGGCACCTTAAGGTTCCCAGATACAATGTGGAACACAGCCCAGGCATAGCGTGCACTGTAAGAAGCTTATTTTTACCATCATTTACTTTATACACTGTAATCTCCCTCTTACACCCACATATCCTATATACAATAGAAGCACAGATGGGTAAGAGAAGCATACAATCCACACTTCCGCAATTTAACTAAACCTATGTATTTAACATTTAGTTTTCTTCTCTACAGCGGAAGAGGTTGGTTGCCCAAAATGCAGGCCTTGGGCAACCAAAAAAAGAACAGAGGAAGAAGTTCTCACGCCTGTCCTTATCTAAGAGGAAGTGAATACTTTGAGACAGGAAGGGTGATTCTTTTTCAAGCCTGAAAGATACAGGCTTTCTGACACTAGTTCTTTCACTAACTTATCGCCCTGATGTGAGAAACATGGAAAGGGCTGCTTGGAACATGTAGTTTTTGACTCAGGGATAAGGATTAGGGATCGATCAATATTTGATTGTTTATAAGTTATATTTATTTTATTTCATGTTTTGTTTTGATAGTTATTTGTTTGTTCTTGGCATTGAATGCTTTCCATTTGTGTTATACTTTGGAAATCACCCTGAGTCCCTTCGGGGAGAGAGGGTGGGTTATAAATAAAGTATCATCATTATCATCATCATCATCATCATCATCATCATTTTACTGACACAAAATCACAGAATGTCACAGCAAACGAGATCTCTATGCAGGATTTCGTATCACAAAATCACAAGTCAAACGCTTCCCAAGCATCTAGGACTGTGTGATGTATTTTTGAATGATGTGTGCAGATCCAAGTAAGGTGGCCTCTTGCAGTTGACTGATAGTGATTTTGTCAATGTTTATTGTTTCCAAATGCCGGCTGAGATCTTTTGGCACGGCACCCAGTGTGCTGATTACCATTGGGACCACCTGTACTGGTTGATGCCAGAGCCTTTGCAGTTCGATTTTGAGATCCTGCTAATGGCTGAGTTTTTCCTATTATTATTATTATTATTATTATTATTGTTATTGTTATTGTTGTTATTATTATTATTATTATTATTTGCAGCTGATTGGGCTATGAAACTTCAGATTTCAGGGAGGGGACCACATTTCCTTGCCAGCTGGAATCTAGCACAGAAAGACTTTCGCCCATGCATTTACTATTTACATTGGCTTTCTATTTCTAGGCAATATTTAATGTCACAATTCCACCTGGGTGCAACAAAAACAGAGGTGGGAAGCCATGATGATCCCATCTGCTTTATTAGGACCACTGTACTTCTACCCAAACTCTTCCATTCAATTTGGATAGAAACACTTTGCAGCATTAACAATCAATGACTCTATTATATTTTCCTTTGGTATTGTGTCTTCAAGGTGCTCAAGACAGAGCAGAGACTGCCTTAACTGTGAGCTTACATAAGCAGCTCTGGGAGCCTTTTCATCTGACAAGTGGGTGAAAAATTCCAAATGCACTAATAAATATAGATGTGTCACACACCCTACACACAGTAACACATACCTAAAGCCTGAAGGAACACAATCTGTCCTACCGTTCGATTCTGCTGCCTATGGAGACTAGCCTTAGGGGGTCCTCTTGCAAGGGGATGCTTTCTCCACCACAGAGGGTTCAGCTATTTCTGCTGAATACATGATTATCTTTATTTTTTAATGGAATGACAGAGCTCCCTAAAATTTGCCATTTTTTCCATATGGCTCCCTATTTAAAAAGAATGTCACTGTCACTGCTGCTGCCCACGCCACAGCCTTTGGCAGTACATGGAAGACTTAGGGTGCATCTACACAATACATATAAGACAGTTTGACATCACTTTAAATGCCATGGCTCAATGCTATGCAATAATAGGAGTTTTAATTTTCCAAGATCTTTTTGCTTTCTCTGTCAAACTACAAATCCGAAGGTTCCATTGCACTGACCCACGGCAATGAAAGTGGTGCCAAACTGCATTAAGATGCAGCCAAACTCTTTGACATGACATTTCCTCAAGTCCTACAGTCACCATGGAGAGTGGTTGAACAGGTGGGGAATTCTGGTTGTTGCAGTTCAAAAAAGTAACTTTCCCAAGCACTGGCCCTTGAAAATGTCATTCTCTTCTGCAGCATTGACCGAAAGGAGAACTGTCCTTTGGCACACAATACAGATCCTTTGATTTCTAGGCACCCATATCTCACTCCTCATCCCTAAGTGTTGGTGACATTATTTTCCATCAACATTCTCTATGGAAAAGAGTATGAGCCAGAGTGTTCCCGGTTCAAAGTCTGATACCTAAAGTGACTGTGGAAACTATTCTCAGTAAGAAGATACCAGTCAAACATCCAAACAAAAGCCCTCTATAAATAACATTATATTAATTAAAAGTGCCTGTCAAAGCTAGCTTCGGGGTTCAGGAGCTCCAGGAGATTTATTGTAACAAAGGAAAGGGAAAGGAGATCTGGTTTAAGAAGTTCAAAACACCAGAACAAACATTTTAATATTATAACGAGCAACGCCAAGCAATTGGCCCAGTGTTCGTCCTCGAACTGCTAAGGCTCTCCACTCCAGTGGCATTGCGGAGACAAAGACAGAGGCCCACGAAGAGGAGAAAGTGGAAACTTGGGGAGAGGCGAAACTTGGGGAAAGGTGAAACACGGAGAAACTCCCCCGAACCGTCATTCCTCCCGCCCTCCACTCCTCTAACCCTCCGACTCTACTAGTTCCGAGGTCCCCGGAGCCTCCCACGGCCTCCTGTTACCCCTGCCCCTGAGAATAAAACACAGCCAATACAACGAAACCTTAATTACTCCACCCGCCCACCCCCACCCCACCCACCCTCTACCCGCAGCAACCATACCAGAGCACAAGCCTGAGCGAAACGGAGAGAAGCGGGGGCCGCGCGAGAAGAGCAAGGCACGCCGAGCCCCAGCGGACGACCTCCTTGCCGAAGGGGCGGAAACCGTCTGGCGGGCAATACCCAGGACGCGCTCTCGCCAGAAAATATCGCGAGACTGGCAGAGAGGGCCCATAACATCACAGACAACCTCTAAAATCAGTAAAAATAATAAATACCCGGTAACTTTGGGACTGGGGACATCAATTGGAAAGTGTTGGCGGAAGGACTGAGGGGGAAGGGGGGTGAGGGCGAAGGGAAGAGTTAACCCAGGAGAAAAACACAGAAGAAGAAAGAAGACAGGGGAGAAGACAGGAAGAGTTGAAATAATAAAAACAAAATAAATAACAATAACAATAATAATAACCAATAACAAGAAGAATAAATAAAATAAATAAAACAAAATAAATAATAATAATAATAAAAATAAGCTAAGCTCTCGAGTCAAAACGATCATTAGAGACAACAACTAAAAAAAAACTGGACTGTCAAACAAGACACAAGGGGGAGAGAGGGAATAATATCAATAACAATAATAAAAACAAAAATAATTTAATAACGCACACGTAATTACAAAACAAGGAAGAACCATAAAACAAAAATAAAATATTAATAATATTTATAATACTAAAACCAGCAACACCAATAATAATATTAATAACAACAGTACCAACACCCCTCACAACATAACATGGAGAAAAAAGGGGAAAAAACCAACAGAAAAAATTCACTTACAGAAGAGATTGGGGTGAAAGACATCCTGAAAGAAATTTGGAAGATCCAAACAGAAATCAATAATCAAAATGAACTGTTAAGGGGAGAGATGAAGGAGATGAAAAAGGAGATGAAAGAAGAAATCAAGACATTAATAAAAGAGGAAATGAAGAACTTGGGAGAGAACATGGAGAAATTAAAGCAGGACAACAAAGACCTATTAAGAGAGAACAAAGAAATGAAGACGGAACAAGGAATTATGAAAAAGAAAATAGAGAACTTAGAAGGAAGGTTAGCCTCATCCGAACTTCAACAGGAACTTCTAGAAGCCAAAGAGAAAGAACATCAGCTAAGATTCAGAAATATAAAGGAAGAAGACAAAGAAAACATCAAAGAAACCATAATTGAGATCATATCTAATATTACTAAGAAATCGAGAGCAACCACAGAGATGTACTTAGACAGGGTATTCAGAATTCAAACACAATACTCTAAAAAATTCAAAACCCCCAGAGATGTCATAGTTTGCTGTGCAAAAAAATCATTGAGAGATGAGATTCTAAGTGGGAACGCAAAGGAACCAATACTATACAAAGGGAATAAAGTAGTAATATTAAAGGAAATACCCTCCTCAGCCTTGGAAAGGCGGAGGAAGTACTACTTTTTGACAGATGAACTAAAAAAGAGACACATAAAATTTAAATGGGAAAAGAGAGAGGGTATAATGGTGACATGGAGAGAAACTAAATATTGGCTCACCTCTGAAGCAAAGGCAAAATCGTTCTGGGAGAAACTAACTAAAACAGAGGGGCACAAGGAAGAAGACAAAAATAAGGAAAAAGAGAAAAACTGGACACTACAACTGAAAACCTCAGAAGCTGGCGAAGAAGTAACAGAACCTCCAGAGGAACAGGAAGAAGAGGAATACGAGAACAGAAGAAAGAGAGCCAGAGAACTGTCACCAAAGGTATACCCACCCCAACCGACGGAACCAAGGAAGGACATGGATATAGAAGAAATAGATAAAAATAATGATGGATTGTAATATTAAAGTGTATAGTAATAATGTCAACGGCCTCAACTCTCCTAATAAAAGAAGGAAAATTTTCCACCAATTAAAAAAAGGAAAGTATGGCATTATTTCATTGCAAGAGACGCACATCACAAAAAAACAGCGACTTCTTAGAACAAAACATATTGGGAAAGATGTTTTACACATCAGACCCCCGGAAAAAAAATGGAATTGTAATGTACATAAATGAAAAAATACCATCAAAGTTAATATTCAAGGACCAGGAAGGGAGAATATTAGGGGTAAAAATAGAGATAGAAGGCAGGGAAATACTAATATGCTCTATATATGCGCCAAACTCCACCAAAGACAATTTTATTAATAAACTGAAAAGATACATAGAAGAACAGGAATACAAAGATCTACTTATACTAGGAGATTTTAATGGAGTGGAAGACCCTTTAAATGACAAATCTTCCAACAAATCAAACCCTAATCCTAAAAAATCAGGCACTCTACCAAAAAAATTTATAAGTATATTAGACGACCTAGAATTAAAAGATATATGGAGACACCAACACGAAGGTGAAAGAGATTTCACCTTCTTTTCCCATAGACACAAAACTTGGACCCGTATTGATATGGCCTGGGGATCCAAAACAATACTACCCAACATATCGAAAAGCAAAATACTGCCGATGATAAACTCTGACCACTCTCCGATGCTGATAATATTAAACTTACACCAAAAGGAGAATAGTGTCTTTACCTGGAGACTGAGAGACAATCTCATAAAAGATCCCAATCAGCTAGAGAACACAAACTCTGCAATAAAGGAATATTTCGATTTCAATATAGATAAGGGAACGCCTATAAATATTGTATGGGACGCTAAAAAGGCCTACTTAAGAGGGCATTTCCTCGAGCGAGGGGCTAGATTGAAAAAGACTAAGAAGGAAGAATGTGATAGACTCCTCAGGGAAATAACTAAAGCCGAAACCCAAGCAAAGGAAAATCCACACAACAAAAAAATCTTACACCATTTAGAATTATTGAAGAAACAGATGAACACTTTACAACTAGAGGAGATAGAAAAGAAACTCAAATTTGCCAAACAATACCACTTCGAAAACGCTAATAAGATCGGAAAATGGTTAACGAGAAGAATTAATATAAAAAAAACAAAAGAGACATATAACAAAAATAGAGGCGAATGAGGTAAGCTATTTCCAAACAAAGGACATTATGGAACAGTTTGTGAAATACTACAAAGAACTATATAAAGATGAGAAAGTCCCAGAGGAAAAAATTTCACAATATTTAGGAAGACAAGACATATCACGTATAACAGATGAACAAAGGGCAACTCTGAATAAAACCATCACCCAAGAAGAGATTAAAACAACAATAAAAAATATGCCGGCTGATAAAGCACCAGGGCCGGATGGTTTCACCAACAAATATTACAAAACCTTCCAGGAAACCCTAATACCTTTTTTGCAGAGAGTATTTAATAACATACTGGAGGAAGGCAAAATCCCTGATTCCTGGAAAGTAGCCTCAATCTCACTCATACACAAAGAAAATACAAACAGCACTTCGGTCAAAAATTACAGACCTATTTCGCTACTTAACGTAGACTATAAAATTTTCACGGGAGTATTAGCCAATAGATTAAAAAACTTACTAAACCACATAATAATGGAAGATCAAACAGGGTTCCTACCAAAACGCCAATTAAAAGACAACATAAGAACTGTAGTAAACATCATAGACTACTGTGAAAAAACAAAACAGAAAGAAGTAGGCCTAATGTTCCTCGACGCAGAGAAAGCGTTCGATCGGGTCAACTGGAACTTTATTAGGGCATTACTAAGGGAAATGGATATTGGTTATCAATTTACAAAAGCGATAGGAGCCATAAACAGCGAACAAACTGCAAAAATAATGGTTAATGGTCATCAATCGGTAGATATCCCTATAATGAAAGGGACCAGGCAGGGATGCCCTTTATCGCCGTTGATATTCATTCTAACCCTGGAAACCCTACTTAACAACATAAGGAAAAACCCAGAACTAACAGGGCTAAAAATTAAAAGCCACTCTTTCAAACTACGTGCATTCGCGGATGACGTAGTGTGTTTTGTGGAAGACCCAATTAGCAACATAAACAAATGGCTATCGACAATTGAGGAATATGGCGAAGCAGCGGGCCTAAAAATAAATAGAGATAAAACACAGATTATTGCTAAAAATATGAGTAAGGAGAACCAGGAAAAGTTGCAAGAATTGACGAAAACAAAAGTCAGCAATAAAGTCAAATACCTCGGAATAATAATCACTCCCAATAATAACCATCTTATAAAAAACAACTACGAGAAGAAATGGTCTGAAATCCAAAATAAACTGCAGAAATGGTCTCAGCTTAACCTGTCATTACTAGGCAAAATAGCTGTAATAAAAATGAACGTGCTGCCAGACATCCTCTTCACATTTCAAGCGCTACCAATTCTGAAAACAAAGACGCTGCTGGAGAAGTGGCAAAAGGCAATTATCAAATTTATATGGAACAACAAGAAACACAGAATAAGGGCAATTCATCTGATGGACGACAAAAGGAGAGGGGGACTAGCCCTCCCCGAGCTACAGTTATACTATGATGCCGCGGCGCTAAGCTGGATCCGCGACTGGGCGACACTCAGCAAGGAGAAGATCCTAGCAGTGGAAGGGTTTGATATAAACCAGGGGTGGCATGCTTATCTTTGGAGAAATAAGGGCAAAAAAGAAAAACCCTTTAAAAACCATCCAATAAGAGCTGCTCTAATCAATACCTGGAACAATTATAAAAACGAATTCCACCAAAGAACGCCAATGTGGTTTTCCCCCACTGAAGCACTTCATAGAAGGGAAATACCTAGGAAGATATGGCTTACATATAAACAACTCATTAACATTAGGGGGCAGGAAATAACACTAAAATCTAGAGAAGAACTAAACCAAACAGATGCCTCTATCTCCTGGTTTCATTACCACCAGATCAGAGAAAACTTCAGAATTGATGAAAAAGTAGGCTTTGAAACAAAAATTTCTTTCTGGGACAACATTCTAACAACTGACACTAAACTCATAAGAAAGATATACAATCAGCTATTAATCTGGGCCACAGAGACAGAACAAGTGAAGACCAACATGATAACCTGGGCAAGAGATATAGGCCATTCAATACCTCTAGCTGATTGGGAAAAAATCTGGAAAAATAAAATTAAATATACATACGCCACCGATATTAAGGAGAGTTGGTATAAGATTTTCTATAGGTGGTATTTAACCCCGGAAATCTTGGCCAAAATAAATAAAAACAAAAAAGAAGATCGATGTTGGAAATGTGAAAGGGAAAAAGGCACATTCCTACACATGTGGTGGAATTGTAAACGGATCAAAAAATTATGGTCACAAATCCACAGATCGGTTGAAAAAATACTAGAAGTTAAATTCGATCCAAAACCGGAAATACTATTATTAGGGCTCCACAATCTTAAATTAGACAAAAATGAAGATAAAATACTCTTTTATTTAACAACAGCAGCTAGAATGGTCATAGCAAGAATGTGGAAAAACAAAGAAGTACCATCATTGGAACACTGGATTGACAAGATATTCGATATAATAAACATGGATATCTTGACACAGAAAATGTCCCAAAGTTACAGGAAACCTCAGAAAACCAATTGGAATTCAGTAATAAAATTTATAAGAGAGGAAAACAATGGGTTGTACACAATAGAAATATAACAACATTCCAAGAAAATGATTAAATGTCAAAGAAAAAACAAGGGTTCAAACGCCCGGAGTAATTAACTACAATGATACTTTTTATACTCTCAAGAAAGTTAGCCATAAGGCGCAAGACAAAACTTAATTATTTATTCAGAATATAATATGGAGGAAGAAGGGGAAAAAATGTAAAAGTTAAATTTAATATGCAAAACCAAATATGTTTGTACCACGACGGATAAACCTGGAAGTACCAACCCCCCCCCCTTGTTGTCTCCCCTCCCCTACCACTAGCCCTCTCCCCTCACCCGTGAACACTACCCCCCCTCCCCTCCCCAACCCTCCTTTACCCGCTGCACCCCCCCTTTTTGTAACCCACCCTTTATACCCCCTACCTGTTTTTAACAATGTGTATGTTTATGAAAATTAATAAATATATATATATAAAAAAAAACATTCTCTATGGAGAGGGAAACAAAATTTCACAAACTCATCCAAGACTCTGGAATCCATAGTTGTTCTCACCCAATGAAGTAGATGAGCCATCACCCAGTGGGTACTTCTGGTAGCGGGGGACACCAAAGGGTGGCATAGCATGGAACTGCTGGGCCAGCAGAGGTTCCAAACGGGAGGCGCATGGGTCTGCTGCATGGAACAAGTTGTAGATCTGCTCACAGGCTGGGCGCATCTGGGCCACTGAAGGAGTAAAAGAAAGGATGTGGAATCCAAAGCTCACAGAAATCCCTTTTTTCAGTTCCTATCATCCCAAAGAGAGTTTTATTTTTCCAATTAAAAACACGTTTTGAACTAGTGAAATCCTGAATTAACAACAGAACAGGAAAGCAAAGGAATGGTGGAAGATGGCAGTGAGAAAGAAACTTCTTACCATCCAAGCCAGGCATCACAGTTTTCCGAAGAGCAAGTACCAGCCCCAGGGGTGAACCAAACAAGAAGAAGCCAGACACCTTGAATTCCAACTTTCCAACCATGATGGGACCCTCAAAAGTCTCCACCATTGAGGATGAAGAGTTACTGCTACGTCGAGGGTCTCCTTCCGCATCTGAGCATGGCACAATCGCCTGCAGGCTGGGAAAGACATTAATAGATGCTGTCACTGCCAAGTGGTACTCACACATCTTCCTTATCAGTGCCATTAAGGAAGAGCCCCTGGTGGTGCAATGGGTTAAACCATTGTGCCAGTAGGACTGAAGACCGACAGGTTGGAGGTTCGAAACTGGGGAAAGCACGGATGAGTTCCCTCTGTCAGCTCCAGCTCCCTATGCGGGGACATGAGAGAAACTTCCCACAAGGATGGTAAAAAATCAAAAACATCTGGGCATCCCCTGGGCAACGTCCTTGCAGATGGCCAATTATCTCACACCAGAAACGACTTGCAGCTTCTCAAATTGTCCCTGACACAGAAATTAAAAAGTGCAATTGTTCTAGGAGGTTTAGGATGTCTCTAGGTTGGTATGTTCATTCTGTCTGTCTGTCTGTTTGTCTCTCTCTCTCTCTCACACACACACACACAATAAATATCACAGCCACATCCTCAAAAAACAAATGAATAGTGAATTTACAGGATTGTAACTGTGGAGTACATTTGTTGTAGGTACCCTACTCATTTATTATAATAGACACTAGGCCACGTACTTCAACATCCCAAAACCTCAGCGATTTTATTACTTCATAACCACAATTTCCCCCCTTTCTTTGTGGATAAGAGCACAGGGCATATAATTGACTGAGATTTTCAGGATTTGTTTGCAATGTGGAAACTGAAGGCTTCCATTCAAAAGGGCAACTGTGAAAATGAAAGTAATGCTTATGAAGACTGACACCAAAGTTGGTTACAGATGGAGGGAGCCTGATGCCATCATTTTCTTTTTTTTTTTCTAAATGCGTAACAAATCTTCATTTCCTATCTTGATGGATTAGTTACAGTAAAGGGAAAATAGTGGGTGGGGGATATGAGAGTGCTACAAGGGGAAGACGATGCCATCTCACTCTGCTCCAGACAGAATTCTAGGAATGGGTGAGTGCGTGTGTGTTGAATTTTAAAAGCCTCCTCTGGAAGGATGCCAAGCTAATACACAACAAATATTCCTGGTTAGCAATACAGATTGCTAGAGCTGTGCATGCTATAAGATTATACGATGTGCAACCCTGCTGCTATAATTAAACTATTTTTTTCCACTGTGGCACTTTAGTTATTCCATTTTTGCCATTATTCTTTTTTAACAGTTCATCATCATTTTAATGAGTTGCTGTAACTGTTGTTTTGTATTAAGCAATGATGGGGATTACACCTGAATGCGGTGTAAATCTGCCTCAGGGGCAAAACATTCCAGATGAAAAGAGGCTCCCTGAGGCTGAAGCAGCACATTTTGTGCAGGCTCTTTAGCATCTGAAGTAATTGGTTAAAAGTACTTCAAGATGAAGGGGAAAAAAACCTCTAGAGAGCCTAGGTTTTATTCCTGTACAAAGTGGTTTTAGTTTTTGGAATCCACATAAATGTTGGGTTGCTGTCAGTTTTCCGGGCTGTATGGCCATGTTCCAGAAGCATATTCTCCTGTATATTGTCGAAGGCTTTCATGGCCAGAATCACTGAGTTGTTGTAGGTTTTTCGGGCTGTATGGCCATGTTCTAGAACCTACAACAACCCATTCTCTCCTGATGTTCTGCTTTAGAACATGGCCATACAGCCTGGAAAACCCACAACAACCTATTCTCCTGATGTTCTGCTTCTAGAACATGGCCATACAGCCCGGAAAACCCACAACCCATTCTCTCCTGGCGTTCTCCTTCTAGAACATGGCCATTCAGCCCGGAAAACCTACAACCCATTCTTTCCTTACGTTCTGCTTCTAGAACATGGCCATACAGTCCGGAAAACCCACAACAACCCATTCTCCTGATGTTCTGCTTCTAGAACATGGCCATACAGCCCAGAAAACCCACAACCCATTCTCTCCTCGTGTTCTGCTTCTAGAACATGGCCATACAACCTGGAAAACCTAGGACAACCCATTCTCTCCTCACCTTCTGCTTCTAGATCATGGCCATACAGCCCGGAAAACCTACGACAACCCAACCCATTCTCTCCTGATGTTCTGCTTCTAGAACATGGCCATACAGCCCTGAAAACTCACAGCAACCCAGTGATTCCAGCCATGAAAGCCTTCAACAACACACATAAATGTTTTCTTCATTCCAAGCATTACTTGAGAACTCTCAGCATTACTAAAGCTTTTAACCCCCGCTCCCCAGCTCGGTTTAAACCAAACCAGTCCATTCCTAAATGAAATATATCTATATTTGGCTATGGGTTTGTACTTTCTCAACGATGGCCAGAAAACATAGCTATTTTTCCAGAATACAGATGCAATAGAGATTAAGCAAAGAAAAGAGGCATGTTAGCACTAAAACAAAATTATCCTAATGCTTAAGTGGTGTAATATTGCTAAAGCATTTAGCACTTTGACTGTCATTCCTGACTTTAAAAAAAAGGGTTCAGCAGAAATGGGTAAAAATCAATTTCTGAAACGTTGCATGAATCACTGAAAAATACTGTTGGAAGAGATCACATAGGCCATCCAGTCCAACCCCCTGCCATGAGAGTGAATGTGACATGTGGTCAGACAGGTGAAAAGGAGGGAGGGAGAGTCTGGGTACAAACTCATGAATATGCAGATCAATCAAAACAAAAAGAGCCGAAATGTTTCATATTTCCAGAGGCATTTCTTTCCATCTAGAACAGTGGTTCTCAACCTGTGTGTCCCCAGATGTTTTGGCCTTCAATTCCCAGCAATCCTAACAGCTGGTAAACTGGCTGGGATTTGTGGGAGTTGTAGACCAAAACACCTGGGGACCCACAGGTTGAGAACCACTGATCTAGAAGTATCCTAAGCCAGGCCTTCAAGCTGTCTGTTAGGCAACTCTGCTTATCTGGAATGCTTACTAATTGCTAAGGGTACATCTATACCAGGGATTGTACATCTATACAATCTTTCTAAACAGAGGGTCAGGCCACAGTCCCTCAAACTGTTGGAGGGCCGGATTATAATTTGAAAAAAGCATGAATGAATTCCTTTGCACACTGCACACATCTTATTTGTAGTGCAAAAAAGCACTTAAAAACAATACAATAATTAAAATGAAGAACAATTTTAACAAATATAAACTTATTAGTATTTCAATGGGAAGTGTGGGCCTACTTTTGGCTGATGAGATAGGATTGTTGTTGTTGTTGTGTGCTTTCAAGTCATTTCAGACTTAAGTTGACCGTATGCAAGGGCCAGGTAAATGATCTTGGAGGGCCGTATCCAGTCCCCAGGCCTTAGTTTGAGGACCCCTGATCTATACTGTAGAAGCAGTGTAGTTTGACACCTCTTTATGTGCAAAGGCTCAATGCTATGGAATCATGAGAGCTGTAGCATTACAAGATCTTTAGCCTTGTCTGATTGTGCCTCACCAAAACACAAATCCCGTTATTCCATAGCACTGAGTCATGGCAGTTAAAGTGGTGTCAAACTACATTACTTCTACAGTGTAAATGCCCCCCAGGATTCAATTTCTCTGGGAAACCAGTCCAATTGTAGCAATTCTTTAACCTGGAAGGCTGCTCTGCTCAACAGCTGCTCACCTGGACAAGAAATGATGCTGTTGTAGTAACGAGTCACCCTCCTGTGCCACGTTGTCACTGCGTTTCAAGGTGGGTGGGAGTGCCCCTGGCTCAGGACTGGCACGGCTCATCCCCCCCGGCACCTCTGCCTTATCAAGCAGTGGATCCCGCACCACAGAAATTTCTGGAGAAAGCAGCTCAGTGTTCTGAAAAAAGAGATTGGGGAACAGCAAGTGTACATCTCTGTTCTACTGAAGAAATTAGGAAACATACAGACGGCACTTGGTATATGCTAAGGTTTGGTTCCAGGACCTCCCATGGATACCAAAATGTATGGACTGGATACTGAAGTCCTATTATATCAGTGGTTCTCAACCTGTGAGTCCCCAGATGTTTTGGTCTTCAACTCCCAGAAATCCTAACAGCTGGTAAACCGGCTGGGATTTCTAGGAGTTGTAGGCCAAAACACCTGGGGACCCACAGGTTGGGAACCATTGCATTATATTGTAGTGTAGCAAAGTGGGGTCCCTTATATAAAATGGCAAAATCAAGGTCCGCCTTTAGGATATTTTTAAAAATATTTTCATGCTATGGATGGTTAAATCCATGGATGCAGAATCCATGGGTTGTTGTTGTTGTTCATTCGTTCAGTCGTCTCCGACTCTTCGTGACCTCATGGACCAGCCCACGCCAGAGCTCCCTGTCGGCCGTTACCACCCCCAGCTCCCTCAAGGTCAGTCCAGTCACTTCAAGGATGCCATCCATCCATCTTGCCCTTGGTCGGCCCCTCTTCCTTTTGCCTTCCACTTTTCCCAGCATAATTGTCTTCTCTAGGCTTTTCTGTCTCCTCATGATGTGGCCAAAGTACTTCAACTTTGTCTCTAGTATTCTTCCCTCCAGTGAGCAGTCGGGCTTTATTTCCTGGAGGATGGACTGGTTGGATCTTCTCGCAGTCCAAGGCACTCTCAGCACTTTCCTCCAACACCACAGCTCAAAAGCATCGATCTTCCTTCGCTCAGCCTTCCCTAAGGTCCAGCTCTCACATCCATAGGTTACTACAGGGAATACCATGGCTTTGACTAGGCGGATCTTTGTTGCCAGTGTGATGTCTCTGCTCTTTACTATTTTATCGAGATTGGACATTGCTCTCCTCCCAAGAAGTAAGCGTCTTCTAATTTCCTGGCCACAGTCTGCATCTGCAGTAATATTTGCACCTAGAAATACAAAGTCTGTCACGGCCTCCACGGTTTCTCCCTCTATTTTCCAGTTGTCCATCATTCTTGTTGCCATAATCTTGGTTTTTTTGACGTTTAGCTGCAACCCGGCTTTTGCGCTTTCTTCTTTCACCTTGATTAGAAGGCTCCTCAGCTCCTCCTCGCTTTCGGCCATCAGAGTGGTGTCATCTGCATATCTGAGGTTGTTAATGTTTCTTCCAGCATTTTTCACCCCAGCTTTGCATTCATCCAGCCCCGCACATCGCATGATGTGTTCTGCATACAAGTTAAAAAGGTTGAGTGAGAGGATGCAGCCTTGCCGTACGCCTTTCCCAATCTTGAACCAGTCTGTTGTTCCGTGGTCAGTTCTGACTGTTGCTACTTGGTCTGA